TTGATTGGAATATGAATGCTAATGGAAGTATGAATATTTTCACAGGACAATGATATAAATGGAACTTTAACACTTTTTTAAGTGTTACAGTGATATTTCGTTGGCCTCCGTATTAGCGCATTGCGCCGAACGCGGATAGCATGATGTTGTAGTCGCAAGGGAGCAATTGATTCGAATAGACGTATTGTACCGTACCGCATCGTATTGTATTTCAAACTTAAAGAAATCTCTATAAATAAGTACAATAATAAGCACGTAATTAATTTTCTTAATGAAAATGATATTTTAATTTATTCTTGTATCAACAGCCTGGAAACTCGTGAAACCATAGTCTCGGTTCATAAATTAATATCTATAATCTAAACATTACATGAATTGGTAACGCATACGTAAGAGACCCCGTGTGTTGTAGCGTGGGGTCATAGAACCCCCGTTGGAGGCGCCAGAGACCTCGCGTGGTGAGAGCGCGGGATCATAGAACCCCCGGTGGAGGCGCCAGAGGCCCCTAGTGGGGAGAATGTGGTGTGACAGAACCCCCACAGGTGGCGCCAGAGACCCCGTGAGTTGAGACCGTGGGGTCCTGGAACCCCCGGGGGTGGCGCCATTGCTCCGTCGGGTAAGATCGTGGGGTCATAGAGCCCCCAGTGGAGGCGCCAGGAACCCCGTGTGGTGAGATTTTAGGATCATAGATCTTCCGATGCACGCCGTATACAGTGAAGAAATAATTAGAAACAATGTAGAATAATGAATAATTTAATGATTATAAATTATAATCTACATGTTACCTAGAAAATCATTCTTTTAGAATTTCTTGTTTTTTCTACTGATTTTTACTAACACAAATAGTAACGTAATTCATCGGAAAATCATATTGAATACGTTTTTCTGTTTTTGATACTAGGTAATGTAACAACTAGTGGTGCTAAAGTAACATACGAAATACCGCTCTGTTCATAAAGTAGAAGTAAGTTAATAAAGTCCTCCAATTGGATAAGGGAGTACTAAGTTCGTGTAAATCAAAGATCCCACATCTGAAGATCAATAAATTGCGAGAGTGGCGCAGTCTAAGATTACCCGACTATTTAGAGTGTTAAAAAGTCGTTATAAATATCAGCCGACTGTTCATTAACGAGATATTGCACGCCATCTTCATCGCCAGACGGCACAAATGCGTGCATCTTGTAAATAAAGAAAAGAAACAGTTACGATACAATCGCTACACGCGGTACTGCCACCGTCGATCTATTTTTGAACGATAATTCTTTTCCCTTTCCTCTCGGTATTGTGCGATTAACAGAAGAAAATAGCCGTGCAAGGTACAAAAGTTTATTGCACAACGTCTTTCCTCATTGGGACGCCATTTTGGTTTCCAGCAACTTTCGAATTATAGAAAAATTTTTATTGAGCATAGTGTTACACGTTACAATAGTAATAATAATTAATAATAATCATGGTGAGAGAGTAATGATAATCAATGATATACCTTTCTTTTCAACAAATAAAAACTATCACGTTGTGTTACGCTTAATAAACGGTACTGTTACAAACTTCTGATTTGTATCGGCTTGACTAGCATATTAGAAGCATTTAACGTTACTGTTAAATTGTAATGAATTAGAGGAGGATCGAAAGCACGTTTAATGCAGAAAAGGGGCAGGTGGAAGGGGGGTGGGAGGGTGGAGGAGGGGGTAAATTACGATATACAGGTATTAAAAATCGCTTTCGTAATAAATTAGGTACGATAGAAGAAATGTACATTCAATAGATCGCTAATATCATTATTACACGTAATGTATCGAGGGCTACAACATCGTTTTCGTGACAATAACATACAAGGCTGATTTGTACGAGTTTTCAGTAGTAAAATATTTCGTTCCTCTCTCTTTCTTTCTCTCTCTCTCTCTCTCTTTCTCCCACTCTTTCTACTCTCTTTGATTACTTTTTTTTTCATTCTCACCCCGTCGAAAAACACTCGCTGTCGTCATTTTAATTAGTTTCACGCTCGTCTGAGAATTATTCCACAGCCTTTAAAAGATTGGTGACCAAATCAGCCTTGGCAGACACACACACCCGGGAACGGGGGGAGTACAAAGCGACAACGCGCGCAAGGAAACGTCCGACAGATATTAAAATATGTGTACAACTTCCAATAAATATGCGACGTCCGCCTTAAAGTACTGATTGCTTATCCAGTAATCCGCCGCGTTTCGTACAAAGTACTTAAAATAGAGTACCTAAACTAGTCTTTCGTGCTCCGAATCTAATTTAATTTGTATCAAGGAGTCTCCTACCAGTTACTCGGGTTATACTTCTTTAGGTTACAGCTAGCAAAAAGGGAACACCCGAATATGACTGTCGTTTTCTTTCAAGATGTTCAGTATTTTCGATGAAGGAGGTGCAAGAATAACAATTATATACTTTTATATCCTGTGTATTCTCTTCTTAAAGAATACTGAATCCTTTCGTTGTCTTTGCAACACTAATTTGGTTTAGCGTCTATATGACGTGGTTCTCCGATTTGAACTCAGATTTCAATTGATGGTAGGATTATTCATTTCAGAGATCGCAGACATTCAGGTGTTCCATTTCCGGCGGTCTCCCTTTCGAAAACGTACAATGGTTTCTCGGCGATAAGTTAGTCTCGAGAACATCCCACGATTCCTCGGATGAAAATTACCATCGTTTTCTGTATCCAAAAGAATCGTGCGTCTATCCTCGACACAAACCTCGCTCTCCTCTATTAATCTGGTTTTATCAGCCTCGTCAGAGTTCCACGAAATATCGAATACTGAATAACATACGATTTTCCTTACACCAATCGCGGGGAACGTGTTTCGAAACGATTTCAGTGCCAATAAATGAACCGATTGCACGAAACGGAGTCCCGTTCGGCCGAGCCGACAGTTCTTAGCACCTGCTAGAGAGTGAATTAAATCCGACTGAATGTTAATGTGGGGGGGGGGGGGGGGGGGGATGACTCGATAATCGATCCTTTAAGTCGGAGCGAATCAATTTAAACGAGAAACTTTCCTGGTTCGTTCACCAACAGTCGAAGAAAAGTCTTTTTGTAAATTTGGAAAAATGTTCGAATAAAAAAGCGACCAACTCCACGACGAATAAATAATACGATTCTAGATTCGATATCTAATCTCTCCTTTTATAAAACTTTGGTCACTCTTAAGTACTACTATTAATTCCCAATAAAAAAGAATGCATCTGTTTCTTCTCCGACAGCTGTCTAAGAATGAATCACGAGGATCTGCGTATTATCGTGAACACGCAGATGGGGTACGGAGCTACGTGCAATCGTGTGAGCCTAGAGAAGAATTCGCAATATCGTGCAGCAACGAAACTAACAACGGCAGTAGAAAAAACAATGTAAATAAAACACACACAAAGGTGCTTCAAACTCTGTTAGTTTCGTTACTATATTCTCACTATTCTCATAGAGAACGACATGGTTAACGCTATAATATGTGGTCTCGTGTTACGAGACCCATTAAGAACTGGTTCTCGGCCAGGCAATCTTGGCGTCGATTCGCTTGTAAGCGAAAAGGCAGTGAGAAAGCTCTTGGGGGCATTCGTGGTCACCGAGCAAGGTTTCTGTAACAGAAAACAATCGAAACGCGTCGATGGGCATTGTTGTACAAACGATATAAAATACTTGTACGGCACCGTGATTGAACAATTCATGACGATTCTTACCTTCTCCTTGGACCAACTTGAACAGACCGTAATCCTGGGGATTGGTACACCTTATCTTGTGCGCGAGAATGCGACAGATTTCTCTGGTGTTCATGTTTGGCCGTACAGGGAGGGTTCTGGTGTTCAGGGATCCGTGTAGTTCATCTGGCACTAAGATTCGTAGTACGGATGAACAGTCCGGCGTTCCGCATCCCTGAAGTAAAGTGACAATTTCATGGACAAATTCTACCCTATATATTACCTAGCAAATGATTCTTCTATAATTTGTTTTTTCTCCTACAGCTTGTTAAAAACACAAATACCAATTTAAATCATTTTCAAATCATACCGAATGTTTTTCTTTCTTTAAATAAAGATCACAGTGAACAAATTCATTGAATATAAAAAAATTACGTGATTCTGCGATCGCTGTTAGTGATTTTACACACCATCTCTACTACCCAAGCATTACAGAGATTGCATATACTAACGTTCAACGTGGACATGGTTCCCTGGCTAGACTTGAACGTCTTCAACACGTGAACCGCGCTAGAGAGCGTCGGCAGGTAGTAACCTCCCTCGCCAGTGAGGAGAGAGGGATGAAGAAGACCCCACATGTATTCCGCCTCCACTTCCGCGTCCACGACCTTCCCGCGGACCAGGACCCAGACGAGAAGAGGTAGAAGATCGTCCGCGCCCAGCGTCACGTGTCTTCCAGAATTCGCATGTTTCACCTGAAAAGTTATCGAAACAAGAACATTACCAAATATCCATAGACAACAGGCAATCACCAAGATTCTAAGGAGACTTACGGAGTTGAAGATGGCAGAAATGGCCGCTAGCAGGTTCTCCAGCTTGTCCAGGGGCGAGTCTGCTTTCTGGAGTCTGTCTATGTACTTCAGAATCCGATCCAGGCTTAAATCTGACGGGGGTATGATCTTTGGCTGCAAGCAAAGATATTGATTTATCAAAATTTCCCCAGGAATTCAATGGTAACAATCGTAAAACTGATAAATAATTTTGTGAACCATGAAAAATTCTTACAAAGCGGTGAATTTCAAAACGAACAGGTACGAAGCAATCTTTCGCTGGTGCAAATTCGCATTAGTATGGTATCTGAGGGTTAATATCGTAACTATTCCCATTGAAAGCTCCCAAGACCCTACCTAGAAACCCAAACAAACACACCGCCACTGGTGGAAATGCTCCCAAGTGGGGTCTACGAATAGCGTATAACAAAAACCGTCCCCAATAATCGTTTCATCGAATAGCTACTAACTCGAACACCGAGATCTTGAACGTGCTTCCCCTGGGCGTGCTGGATGCTTTCGGCGAGCGTCTGCAGCGATCCAGTGGTCGCGTAGTGATCGACGAAGAGTCTGTAAACGTGTTCCCTGAGCGGTCTGACTACCAGGCCCATCATCACGCCTTCCAGGATCGCGTCCAGGTTCAGAAACTCGTTCGCCTTCAGTTTCACCCGTTCCTTCTCCACTTCTTTCTCGAACTCCCTCTCGCCGTGCTTCACCAGGTAGTTCTTCATCCCCGACATGAACTGTCGCATGTTCCTCATGACCACATGTGGGCTGGCTTCTTTGCCCTCCTTCGTGCACTGGATGAAGTTGTCGATGTTCTGGGAGAAGGTGGTGGTCTTGTCGGCCGCGAGTTGAAGAGCGTAGGTCCTTATCGTGGACCCAGTCCCGGTGTTGTCGCGATTTCGAAGGGCTTGCAACCTTGGCGGAGCTGTAACGACAAAGAGATTGGATTCAGGGAGTTAAATCGGTATGAATTTGATACCGGTATTGTGCCATCAAGGCTATACCGAAACCGATATATTACCGAAAAACCGAAATAGGCTGATATAGAGTTATATAGGGCGAAGGTATAACCGAAAATACCGGTATAATATCGGTATTTTACGTTTCGGTAGAAGTCCCTGATTGGATTTGACATGCTACAGACAGGCTAGATGATTTGGTTCTTGGCGTTTCATCCCTCCAGCGACCGGAAGTGTGATAGGTACGATCCTGGAGATGAGATAGGACTATGTGTGAAGTACAATACTGAATGGTAGTTTCGTGATTCGATGATTGAGAACGTTTTTTAACCTGATATCTGCGTAAACACCCTGTCGTGTACCGACACACCTTATCTTATCAATAAAGTGAACTACTATTGGCACATGGGCGTCTAAAATAGACGAAGTGCATTAAAAACAGTGGGAACGAACGTTATCTGTATACACACCGGCTATGATAGTTCTTTGATTTTACTGTTCGTTATCGGGAAGCATCCGTTCGATAATTTTTCAAGGAAAATCATCGATAAAAACTTCGTGGGAACGATATGGAAGACTAGTCGTTGGGAGATTGTATATGCAGAATTTTTCATTGCACTTCAAGTGTCTGTTATTACGATTGGAAATTGGAATTTTTATTAATGGGACCGGAGCTTACGTTTAAAGACCTCAACACTGTTCTGTAGCTTTCTGCAGATGCATCGAAACCACCGTCCTATCTTCCGAAAGATGCCCCTAGTCTTCATAGAGAAGCTCCCTCGGATCTTCTGGCAGGGGACCTCCACCGAGCAATTGATCATTTTGCGCACGCAATCACGTCTTTTCAATTAATCGAATCTTCTTCGGTATATAACCTAATCTAGTTACTGACAGCAATACTGTTCGAGTTTAGTTAAAATTCGTCCGATATCGTTGAGAAAACATCAAAGATCCAGCTTCGTCCTCAAATCCAGACCTCCGTTACGTACAACTAAACAGTCTTTTAATATTTATCATTTCGACCAAAATGAAGTCTTTGGAAAAATAATATTCAAATCTCGTTGCCTCGATTCGTATCAGTCTTATATACCTCTCTCTCTCTCTCTCTCGATCAACAAGGTTTACAAATTAAAAATAAAAGAATTAAAGCTTCTGTCCGCCAAGAATCTTTACGATCGTCCATCAGCTAATTCTTGGGTCACTCGGATAAAAGTCGAAGTTTCCTTATTTTTCGTTTATTTTCTTCGGAACACACAGTCCAGAAAACGACTCGCCAATTATCCTTCCCGAGACACGAAGTGAATTTCCTCGCCAAAGTACCAGTGGAGAGATCTCACCGAGACTTATCTGGAAGAGTGCTTCACCCAGGGATTCCACGAGCTCTCGCGAGCTTATCGAGTGAATTCCGCATAAAATTATTGACGACGTTCACCCGACCAGGGCTCCCAGACGTCTTCAAGAGCCGACCGTTGCTTTATCTTGGCGACCGTGGAATCTTACGGCCAGATAGACGGTCCCTTCCACGAGAAAACTTTCTTCCATAGGGACGTTTCCAATCCACGATTTCACGCGCAGAAGATCCTCGAACGAGGGTGACATTGGATCGAACACAGGCTGAACAATTTCACAAAGTCAGATACTAGTTATTCGGAACTGGAATCACTAAATTCGGGAACTAGGATCCTCGGAGCAAAGAAAAATTCGTTAAAAACGTTATCACTCGTAATACCGTTCCACTGATCGTTTATTGGGTCAAATAGCCTTGGAATTTTCTTCCGTCCAATGGATCTTCCTCCACTCGTGACAAACTCGATTGGAACGCCGGTTGTCGAGCACACTTGCTCAAATAACAGGGGTAAAACAAAGCTTGCCGAGAGATTCAACTAGATACTTCCGCGTTCGATAAATTGCCCGACGAATTCACGATGACATTGTCTCTCGTGGAATTCCTTGTCGATTTGTCAGAAAAGTCCAGCTGCAATAAAGTCACTCGAACAAAAATATCTGTCGACTATGTCAAACTCTGACAGTCACATTCACTTTTCACTCGAGCAATCGTTCTGTCAACTGTCGGCCCGATTCTGACAGTCACTTCCACTTTTCAAATCGAGCAATCTGTTCTGTCAACTGTATGGTAGATTCGTCGACGTTCCGTTTTTCGTAAGAACTAGCGAGGGGACCGTCACAACTCGAACTGTTCCGACGAGCGAGCCAGGCCCAATAGAGAGCCTCTGCGAGGCTGCACCGACGATAGACTGGCAGACACTGAGGGATCGCGGTCGCCGCTATCGGGAAAGGTAGACCGGGAATACGATTCTATCGAGAAGCCTCTTTGTCGCTGGTGCATTTCTGTGTGACCAGACTCGAGGGGAGGTAACGCTGTTTGCGTTTGACCGTCGCGAACGTTCGCAATTCCTAGGCTTTGCGATTGGGGAATGGGGCCTTTCCCAACCCTAACCTCGCCCCCTGGGCCCCAGGTCACAAATTTATTTGAAAAAGGCCGCCCAGGGATTCCTCGAAAGGGAATACTCTAACTATCGAGTGACATTAATATTTTTAAGTAATTTCTTTGAAAAATAGAGTTAGACCAGTGAAGAATTTGGACGCCTATATGACAAACAGATGGAAAGAGATAAATTATAAAATAAAAAAGCGACATTAGCCAACAGACCTAACAATGGTGAAAAAATTTTCATCACGCCATAAGTGGTGTTTGTAGACAGTACCCGAGCCAGCAAATTAGCCCATAAAATTGTATTCAGATTGCTAATATAATAATAAAATAAAAAGAAAATTGAATCATTTGTTTTCAACCCTCTTGATCTTCTCGGATTCCCTCTTCGACCACATCAAAGATTATGCACTTTGAATCCTCTTTATCTGCAGTTCTATCTCCGAGCAATATTTTGACGTCTACAATCCTTTGTTCGGTTCTATCTTCACCCCAATAGCGCGGTTGCACTTTCAACCCCTACTCTCTCTCTCCCCCTCGACCTCCTCTATCGGCTCCCCTCCACTTTTTGTCACGTTAAAAGAAAAGAGAAGAAGACAAGAGGTCTCGATAAAAGTACGAACAGCTCAGATAAAGAGTTCATCGGTGGTGGATCGTTCACACCGTACAAGATGATTACAGTAGCTTCCGTTCCCTGGCACAGAGGCAATTTGTAAAAGAATAATCTCCGCCGGATATCTCTCGCGGTATCGCTACAGTGGACACGTGAACAGCCTGGTGGAATGCGTGTCTCACGTTGAGATTAGAACCGAATGCACCGGGGGAGACACTAATCCAGCTGCGGAGAGAATGCACTCTCCCCTTTGTAGATGTTACTTAACTCAAGACTGGCCTTCTAGGCTGATTACTTCACTTGTAAACACCTCTTTAAAAATTAATTTCGATCAATTTCGATTCCACTGTAGAACTTTCAACGTTATTACACGAAAAGTTACGATCTCCTCGACGAGATCATGTTCTGATTTAACATACCATCGACAAAGTGTTCAGGTGCTCGAGTTTTCTTCCGATAGAACGTTTTCCTATAGAATAGAACACCGAGAATCGGTAATCTATCCTCTAAAGGGGGGAAACTTCACGATTTGCATGCGCCGGACGTAAGAAACTATTTGGCCGGCTCGTTACAAGTTCTCCAGAGGGGGTGGGAAGTTCAGACTATGCGGAGGTTTCTGGGAACTCAGGAATATATGACGGACGAGGCAGCCTATAAAGCGTACGGTAATGGCCAGCTTTGCCAACAAATTGGAATAGTTTACGAGGTTTTCGTCGTTTGAATATTAAACTCTGTGTGGATGTCGGTTGCGCGCTTTGTTGCCCCCGGGGCGCGTTCACTGTGCTTTCGAGGGTTGAACTATCAATAGGGATGAATTTGATGCCTGATCCGTAATCACGTACGCCATATTGGAATTTCTTAACCGTGAAAAAAATTTCTTTTAGAAAAATTGGATAGGATTCAAAATTAATCCAGTAGAATCCCTTCCTCTCATTTAATTATATTTGTTTGGAAGGTATTGTCAGATTCCTCCGATGGGCTTTCGTAATCAAGAGGTGAAGTGTAATATAAAACCAGAATGTAGTTAACTAAATTTAAAATGCCCCAGAAATGGCATAAACGCGTAGAAAATAATGGAGAATATTTTCAAGACTAGACTATTTTGTTTTCTTTGTAAATAAACGACAAATCTATAAAAAAAAAGAGGGCCACGAATTAATTTCTACACCAAATACATCTTGTATAACCGCGTATTATAAACAATAACCAAAAATCTATAGTACAGTTATATTTTACCTACAGGAATAAATGTTACGACGCGATTAAAGATAAAGACAAAGGAATGCATTCGTTGAGGAAGATTTACAAATATTTTGTCCGGATATAATTACTGACAAAATATCTAAAAGTGACCACTGAGACATGTATGTCGTAATCAGGACCGTTATTGCATTTGCGATGAAATAACCGCGTGATTTAATAATATCGATGAGCTATATTCAGCAGATAATTTCCCCGTAAAAACGACGAACGAGGCTACGATATCGGGGATCGATCGAAGTGTAGAACGCTAATGAATCCCACTGGTGAAACCTTTTACGAGAGACGCAATGATAAACCACGTCGTGCAACGATAATACAATCGTTTCCGTAGCGCGTGTCGCCGTTAATACGTCATCTGCGAACGAGACAAAACAATTGGCTGTACGAAACGATTAACGCGCGTGCCGTTTCTTGTTACATCTCGAGAGCCTTTTGTGTGTTTTTCGGACGGCTCGACGATTCGTTGTCTCGCCACGCTTCCGTTCCACCCCTCGTTTTCCGTTCCTCAGAACGGGACAAAGAAAGAAAACTGTCTACAGAAAGAAGTAGGGGGAAGAGTAGGTCAGAATTTCTTGCTCGTTTATTGCACTGGGTTTTACAACCTCCCGAAGGTCTCTGCGTTAAAAGAAACGTTACGTCGATGGGGTGCTCGGTTGAAGAGAGTTTTCTGGAAAACGGGAATGCGCGAAAATAAAAGATTTAGTAGTGATTTAGTAGATTATTGCGGATCCTTTATGCAGATATCAATCTTTATAGATTTATTCCCAAAAACTGGGATTGGACAGAAATTTCGTTACTGCATTGACGATTCTACGAGGTTCCACGTGAAATGAAAATTATATTAAAATTTATTGAACTTGTTGATGTACTGAATTGTAGACAGATCGAGTATGATATAAATGCATAAAATCCGATGTCTAGTCATTTTTTCTCAAGGTAGATTCACTATACGGAAAATGGCAGATTTGAGTGATATTGGAGGAAAGACAACGATTCCATCGATACATTCTTTTCTCATCTATCCATAGAATTTACTATCCTCGCGATTAAACGTATCGTACACGAAGAAAGAGAGTAAGCAGCGATTATAGTAATACCGAGCCGAAACGCATCACCAGTGACGAATCGAATAATCGTAAAATCGGAGCACGGAAACCGTGACCGTATTTTATTACGCGTCGATCTTTCGTCTGGAACGAGGTCGCGCGATCGTCCGTCCGTCCGTCGATTCTATCCGATCCAAATCGTTTTTCTCCGCGGCGTATATTTCTCCGACGCAGATCGCGATTTCTTTTCTCCCCTATCGTAACAACGATGATTGTCGAGGGAGCTGCGCGCGAGCGTGCCAGGATGACCTTCTCGGGTGCAGTTTCCGATATATGCACACTCGACGCATGTGGCGATGCATTTAACGCTGTTTAATCGTGTAAATGACTCACTCACGAGTACAATAATTGTCGATAACAGTGGTGTTACGTTCCACACTGACAATAAGTTTCCACACTAAGATCGGCCGATCCATTCACGATCGGCAATTTTCAAGATCGAACATATATTTTCTGTTTTGTCTTCGAACGAAGCTAACTACAAATGACAACTAATTACACGAAGATCTTCGGAACAACAAGATAATACATCGCTCAATGAATATTGAGACTTATCGTGGTCGTTACGATCGTAGAGCATCCAAAATGGCGGGACTGTGGTGTACAAAATCGATCGCAGAAGATTGTAAATAATTTTCTTAGAGGGAAACTGGTAATTATTGCTTGGTTCTTTTTGAAATTATTATTGTTAGAAATCGGTCGTTTAGTTAAAAAGAAATTTTTACAGCGCCCAATCAATGAAATTTGACGAGGGAGGTTAGGTTCACTCCGATAAACCGATCGGCCGAAAAAAAGGTGTCAACTTGTTTTTCACCCTTGGCCGCCACGTGGTGCGAACGACTCACACTCCGCCTCGCGGCATTTGCATTACTTATCGGCCGTGAACTTTATTGTATAAGCCAGCTGTGGTGCAACACATTTAATTGAAGCGTTCGTCGGAGGCCCCATCCGTCTTCGCCGATTATTACCCGATCCGCGACCGTTCGTCTACCCTTGCTCTTTTGTGCGCTCGCGCGATAACAGTTGATGAACGTAATGCCCCGAGATTGAGAAATATTTCTCGCGAACCATAACGAGAACGATATAGAAATATCGATGATAAATTGGCAACTATAATACTGTGTATTTACAAGGAAAAATTTTCTGATATTTCTTAACACGTTAGGCGTCATTGGATAACAAAAAATAACATTGCTTTTGGACACTGTGTACAAAAATCGGAATTTTAATGAAGGACACAGTATCCAAACTAATATATGGGCCCATTAGGCCAGAATGTATTGTATTCGTATGGATACAAATGGCGCTAAACCCTTTAACGTTTTCAGTAGAGAAATTCAAGTATGCCCTCAAAAAATAAATAGACAAATAAAAAAATGAATCAAAAAATGGGTCTGTTGATTATCGTTATTTTCGACTTCAAAATAACTGGGTACAACGTATATGTCAGTCTCATAATTTTGAAATAACGATTTAAGGGTCTGGCCGTTAAAGAGTAATAAATTGGAACACTTTCCAACATCCATTTTGAGATCCTCCTCCATTGTCACTTCGAAATTCGATCGAACGGGGTGCTTATACGCAATAATAATAACAAAAATACTTACAGAGGAGGGGGTCCAGCCGCTCCTTGAAGCTCTTGTTCCTCTTCATCCTCTCCACGTCGCTTTCGTCCGTCTCGAGCGGCGTCTCCCACTCGGAGGAATCGTAGGATTGTTCTTTTCGCGAGTCCGCGGCGTCCTCCCTCTCGTTTCTCTTCTCGACGTTATCGTACGAGGAGTTTCTGTCGCTGTACAGGGACTCGGACGTGTCCGGTGGTTTCAGCAGCTGTGGGTACCTGTCGAACACACGCAGAAATATCACCTAATTATCGTTGTATGTCATCGTTGACATAAATCGTTTTTAATATCTTTCTTTCCTAATTCGTGATCTCGATTTAATTCTTTTCGACTTCTTGTATCTTTCTTGGACTGTTTAAACATGCAGAAATTTAGAAAGAAAGACCAAGAACGGAGGATCAGATACTTGTGGCTCATGGTAGATTGCATTTTAACTATTATAATTACGTTCCCTATACTTATGATTTAATAAATTAAGGTTGTCGAGTGCGCGATGTTTTCTAGTACAGCTTAATAAATTAAGTTACGAATACAGAAAAGAATCTACCCCAGTGACTGTATGATTTTCAATGGAAAGATCACGAAAACTGACATGTTATTTAAGATGGCGGATTGTCAGGCTACTCACCGTTGGAGAATGATACTCTGAACGGTCAAAGTGTTGCCAACAACGTCACTGTCGCATTCCTCGTCCGGAAACTTTCTGGCCACGTTATCGCCTTCGTAATCCGCATCACAGTCGTAATCTGGCTCGCAGTCCTCTCCCTCGTTTCCTGGAGAAGATAATCGCTCGATATTATCGGTCGTATCGCGGTATTTTGGCAGTTATCATTTTTACGCAGCTCCGAAAGATGGTTTGAACTCATTCACGAACTGATAACCGATAGAAGCTATGACACATAAAACTTTAATACATTTAAGGCAATCAACAATGGTAATTATAACTAATCGATGTGGGGCAAGAAATATTTTATAATATTCCTTCTGTTGCTCTTGTGTTTGGACCTCTGACGGATGTGCTTATTAAGATTTACGAATGTCGAAGTATATCATTCTTCATGACTTATCCGAAAAGATCTTGACCTACCAATAAACTCCCAGCTAGAATCCACAGCCCAGGAGGTATCGTTGAACACCTTGGTCCTGATCTTTGGTGGTTGCACGGGTTTCGCTCTCGGGATCTTCTTCACCTCTTTTGTGCTGAGTCGTTTAGCTAGATTGTCCACGGAGGACGATATCAGAGGCGTCTTGTCCTCCGTCTCCTCCGTTTCTTCCCAATCGATCGGATGAAGTTGATTCGAGTTAGCCCCGATCGGTGTCTGTAGCCAACCTGGCTCGCTGTGACGATATTTGTTCGTGGCTGGGTTGTTCCTGGGCCGTCTTCTTGGTATTATTGCTGCGCTTTGGGCGATGGCGTCCGCTGGTTCCGCGTAGAACGGACTACCTTGCTTCGACTCCGGTGTTAAGGGACTGTTGCTCTCGGACTTTGCCAGCATCAGTCCAAGCTTGTTCCTCGGTGGTGTTATTGTGCTTGGGCTGTTCAACGAGTTCGCGCTGCCTGCGCAGAGAACAATGTACAAACTGAATAATTTCTAAAACTGACAGGAAACGCGGACTAAGATTCTTTGAGTACTTGAGGGGTCAACACTTGGGGGATCAGTACTTGGAAGTCCCTCTTTTCCCTACGTTCCCACACTACCATTTAGGAATACATTAAAGTTTCACAAGTAATGTACAGATTTCGGACAGCTGATTCGAGAGTTGCGATGCAGTAAACCCGACAAGACTATATAAAAACCAGATTTCAGTTTCGAAATCGAACACTTACAAACTCGAGACAACAGGTCCGGTCTCCTCCCCATTCCAGTCTCCTCGGGCGTCCCGTGTCCCGGTTCACCAGCCTTCGATTCCTGAACAGGCTTGAAGCTGCTGAACTCTGGGCTGGTCATCTCCTTGTAGCTGAGTTTCTCATTGCCGTTCGACTTGTCGTTCCTCAGTATCATCCTGTCGTTCCTGACGATCAGCTCGTTCGTCGGCAACAATCGATCGTTGTAGTTCCTCTCGGGCTGGTTCACCGTCTGTCGGTCCAGCGGCATCAGCCGATCGTTCGAGTTCCTCAATCGTTCCAATGGATTCGTGGTCGCCGCGTCGTTCCTCGCTAGCTTGTCGTTCGGCGACCAGGTCGAGTGATTCGACTGGTCGGTCGTGTTCCAGATGTCCTCGTAGTCCGAAATCTTGTCGCCTGGCGAGCTACGGTAGTAGGACTCCAAGATGTCCGATTCTTGGTAATGTTGGGAATTCTTGCGGGCCTCACGGTCACGTCTCCGTTTCGATTTGCTGGTGCTCGACGGGGTCGTCGGTGAGAGAACGTTTGGCGTTTTGGCGCCGGTGTTCGGGACTAGCTTCGACATCGGTGATAGAACCGGGGTCGTTGGCGACAACGGGGACTTCACGGAGAAGTTCGACGTCAGGGACTTGTTCGATGTCGCGCTTTGGGGACTCAGCAGAGAGGTGTTCTGGTCCGACGGTGTGTTCTGTTGTTTGGAGGAGAAGAAACGAATTTGTTATAGGGGATATCTGGTAGAAAGTGAAAACGATACTGATATATTCTGTGTATTCCTCTTCATTTAATTGAGGGGCTCAGTGAAAAAGGGGCATACGCCACATTTACGTTTTTAGGTTTTTGTAGCATCAACAAGCTCTAGCCTTATCTTTCCTGAAAGTAGTTGTCGCGTAAATTTATAGCACAGAAAATCATCGATGAGCGTTCGAAAGCTCTTCGACATTGAGTGTTCAGACGACCTCTCCACCATTGAGGGGATCTTCGTGGAACCAGTCAAGCGCTCACTGGTGGGATGACGTCTGAACATTCATCGATGATTGACTGCATTGTGGTTTGGGCCCGTCTACCACTAAACCCCTGAATTTTCTATCCTTATTCATACTGTATTCCTATCGAAAAAGGTGATACAGGGGGAATATCCAATCAAACTTCTAATCCGTAATCAAAGAAATCACCTGTGAACTACTAATGTCAGTCGACTGGCTGACATTGAAGGTAACTGTGGTGGAAACCGTGAAGTTGTTCTGCATATGTCCCATCCCCGGTTTGGCCCATCTCGGCGGCGGCGGTGGCGGTGTCTTCACGTTCTGCCCAATCGCGTGATTCTCCCCGATGATGTTCCTGATCTCGGGCAACACAGGCGAATTCGTGCAGGAGAGATTGTTGAAGGTCGAGACGTTATGGAGGAAATTCGATGTATTGGTGGCGACTGAGGAGAATCTAGTCCTGGACAGTTCGACTATCGTGGATTTCGATGTCTCCGGGATGCTTTTCGCCTCGAAATTGATCTTCGATGTGTCCTGGACTGGGCTCAACACGTTGTTCTCCACGTTGTGGACCACAGGTGACGGGCAACGAACGCTTTGCACCAGATTAGGCGAGATCAACTTCTGAGAGAGCTTTTCACTCGGGGACATTTTGTCGTTTTTTATGTCCATCGGTTCGTTGAACGTCGTCAGATTGAGAGTGTTCGGAGGGGTTGGACGCGGCTGACGGGGCAACGAGGACGCGAACGTCGACGTCGTGAGAGCGGTGGTCGGTGACGAGCTTCCTGGAAATAAAAATACGAAATTATTTTCGTCCCAGGGGCTTGTAACGTGGTTCTTGATTGATGGAGGATTCATCGAGCGTTGTTTTGAAAGGAAGTCCCGTTAATTTATCTCCCGCGCTCGGAGACATGACGAACAAGACCGGATGTATCAAATGGACAGTAAAGATAACAACGACTGCAGTTTTGTTTCGTTGTATTTACACGTAGAATCGCTAGTTTAATTGGGACAAGCTATGCAGAAACCTGCTAACCATCAAAATGACAAAAAACTCTTACATTATACACTTATTAAAACTAAGCCATAGAAAGTTTAAAATACAATTAAAATCAATTATAGAAAATTTGCAATAATATTAATTACATTAGTCATTGTTAAGTAAGCCTGTAAAACAACAACAAGAAATGAAATATACTCAATAGACATAAAGCTGCTATTTAAAAAAAATTAAATTCTTCAAATTAAATTTACTTCATTTTAGATCATTGAGGATTGGTAGCTTTCTGCATAACTTTTCTCAGTTATGACTTACGTGTATCGTGCGACGATATCGGCGCAAGATTTAGCACAATGCTCTCCGTCGTCGGTGTATGGTGGTTGTTGTTATTATTGCTATGGTTATTGTTACCTGGAAATGATGAATTATTTATTAAAATCAATTAATAACGGATGTAGAAACGGGAAAATCGATTAGACACATCGTTGGTCCAATTGAACTTACCGCCACGGAAGCTGCTCAAGCTCGACGTGTTGCTGCTGCTGCTTTCCGGCGGTCTCGGGTTCGCCATCGGGTATCTCCAGAACTCCTGGCCCAACAACGCCAGCGAGGAGAGCTGTTGCCTATTCTTGGCATCCCGCATCGCCCTTGGCAGTGTCAATTGGACCGGCAATTCGTCACTGCTTGCCCAGAGAGGAAAACAAACGGATCGAGATGAATCTTTCACGCTCCGTAAAAAACAAATTTTCACATTTGCTTAACCTTTTGGGGGACGAATTTATTAAGACCACAAGGATTTCTTTTAATTCTTTGGCTGTATTAAATTGAAATATATTTATAAATATTAACGACAATCGAGTGATAGAATATCCTTTTTTTGTTGGTGAATTTTCCACTGAATATTTATTTACAATTTTGAAGTGACGTTTGAATGAAAGGAAAACTAAACGTACACATACGTGTCAATATCCTTAAAAGATTAACCCGTAACCGGTATCGTGGGGTCTAGCAGATTCCAGCAGAATTTCTTTTTTACGTCACATTTATTTTTGCGGTATTGTTGCTTTCAACTTTCCTGTCCACATCCTAGTTCCCACGTAAACGATAAATGAAAAGAAACAGCTCGAAATAGCTCGTATTATCAGGTCGGTGTTGGTTATTAACGATAACGCGGCCCAAAGCGGTAAAACCGCCAGAACGCTCCTCATGAATCATTAATCGAGCCGGTTAAAAGGAAAAACGGGCGCGTCGATTATCACGAAAACCGAGGCTTAATGGCGCGAACGTGGCTTTCCAGTGCTCCCATTAGCCGCCTAAATTATCTCGGGACACGATCGAGAGCCGACTTTCACCCGACAGGTTTCGTTCGCGGGGCTGCTCCCGCGAATCGACTTCCACCGTATGCTGCCTCGTGAATTCGATAAGTTATGCAACGCGCGCAAGAGATCGCCGCAGGTCTAATCCTCCAGCGACTTGGTTTGATCGGTGTGTAATTTCACTCCCCGATAAGAAAAACCGAATCTTCTGGCGAGACGACTAAATCGAGTCTTGTCGTCGAGGTACATTATACAGTATTTCTATAAAGAAATTCAATTATGCATGTTACACGTTAAATCTTTGAGCGGAGGTTTCACCCCTTTGAACCGAATATCCGCAGATGTAAAAAATTAAGCGTTATTTACAAGGGAAGGCACGGAAGTGTCGCCCTCTGATTTTGATGAAACTTCGTATGTCTGTTAAGCAGTCAAAAATAAGGGATACGTATTTTTTTTTATCGCCTGAGACGCGACTTTAAGGGATGAAACCACCCCTCGAAGTTTCTACCCGAAAATACTATCTTGAAAACCAGAGGAGACACATGAAAACTTCTAATGGACGAGGTTTGTGGTTTTTTATGTAGAATAATATAGGGGATTACTTAAAAAGGGAGGAAAATTCAATGGTCAGGATAATCGAAGCTTATACAAGTGGGAAGAGGGTGATCTTGGCGGCCTTGAGCAGTCAAATTGATTTCGTTTCTACTCTATGTCGGATGATCTCGATGTAAGGAGAAGAGATGAACCACGTAAAAAGGCCACTCACCAGCACTGGGAATAGTGGGCGATCAGCGAGGGGATGTTGTCGAACCTGTTCTCGCTGGTCTCCAAGCTCAGCTTCCCCTTGTTGGCTTGGATCAGGTAGTGCTCGATGTACGGTCCCTTACCTGGCGGCAGCCTCACGGACAGGGCCATCGTGTCGCTCTGGCTCGATTGCCTAACGACGAAGTTCTGTGAACAGAACACACAGAATACACTTCAGCTCTTTTGCAGGTACTTCGAAATACCTGTTCAACTTAATTTAACAATTTACTGAGTTTCAAAATCGAAAATTATCATTTTCTGACTTGGGACAAAGTTACCGAGTCAAATTTACCCCGAAACTTACGGTATATCTCAAACTCCAGACTTTGAGGACAGTAACGAAGCGAAATGTCTGTTCCCTGAGCCCACTTTCCACGGTTCAAGCGCGGATAGCGGCGGAAACGAAAGAAGAAACGTAGAGTCATATCGCCCCATAAATTTCCGCGGGCATAAATCCTCGTTTCCAGACGACAGAGAGAGAGAGAACGAGTCCTTGTAGGACGGCCCGTTGAAAAAAGAGCAAAAAAAAACAGGGATAATACGAAGATCTCCCAGAGAAGCCACGGTGAAACTGCAACACAATAAAACACGATTGTGTAATTCTTTGGCGTTTCTCTAGGAAATCCGTAATCAGAGGCACCTCTGTGTCGATCCCGTTTTCCACGCGTTGCTCGTCGCCGTCAACAGAGAAAGAGAGAGAGAGAGAGAGAGAGATAGACAGACTTGGGAATCGGCTAAAAAGACAAAAGAAACAAAAGTCAGTGGCAAAAGAAAGGCAGGAAACGGCCGTGGCTCACTTGGGAACCGGCTAAAAAGACAAAAGAAACAAAAGTCAGTGGCAAAAGAAAGGCAGGAAACGGCCGTGGCTCTTTACGCTCCACTTTGCGGCCGCGAATTCATCCCCACAGCGCATCTTCCGCGTCCCTCCTCGCGGATCTCTTTCTTTTCCGGGGGAGGGACAAAACACCCTCTAGGTCCATTCAAGCCGAGTTCACTTTAATCGTTGGAATGGACTGTCTCCCTCCTCTTTTTGTCTATGTTCGGTACAATGTATTTATTCTCGGGGTGGAAGTTCCGGTGTCTAACCACCATCCCCTTTTTCCATCACGGAACTACTTCCCTTTGTAGATCCATTTCTCTATGATTCCTCGAGGCACACTTTCATTTTACACGATTATTGAAGTAATAACCAAAACTGAATATGGATTTATCTTCTATCACCCTGTACTACCTGAACATATAGTAGAGTCTCGATAACTGTTGGGAAGGATCTCTACGTTAAATGCTTCCTGCGTCATCTTTACAATTGGACGATTCCCCTCAGGAAGCTCGGCTCGAAATTCCGTGTTTATGAAGTGACAATTCACAAAGCGCAGAGATCTTTTGCCCCTCTACGATAATTGCTTCAAAGCGGCGTGAATCGAAGATTTACTGTATTTTCGTTATTTTACTAGAAAGTATGGAAATGTCTCGGTCGATGAGTTCATTGGGATTCAAAGCCACACCACCATTGGACTGTGTGTTTTCAACCCCTTCATTCGCAATCACCAACCCCGTGTTGTCGACGCCAGAGGGGAGGTGGAAGGGGTGTGTCTCGACTACGGTGGAGTAATTGCGAGAGGCATTGTTTTTCGACCGTGCAATTCGTCCGTGGCCGCCGATGAGACAGGGGGGGGGGGAGGGGGATGAAAGGGCGAGCGGAACGATTAACAAAGCTGGAAAACAATGAGCCAACGGGAAAACAATGCTGCCACAATGCCACGGCTCGTTCCAAGTCCTCCCCCCCCTAGCTGATTACGGAACCACCCTTTTCCGCACCCCCCGACGCCATCAGGTTTTCCTTGTTCGGGTAGGAAAAAAAAAATGTTCGGTGAGAAAGTAGCTTCCGATTGGAACACTCGTAGGTCGATATTGGTCGGGACTTTCCTCTTGGGATGGTTCGGAGCTGGATACCTTTGATCTATCGGTTGAAAGGATGCTAGTGGTCTGATTACTTTTAATACGTTGATTCATAATCATCGTGAACTCTGGTCCCATACCTTTAGCCGATAGTGTATATCGTTAAAGAATATTTCACGATAATTTAACCGCTGAATTTACACGGAACAGTAATAAACTGATTATTTTTAAATTAAAATCTTGTGTATGGAAGATCATAGCTCCTGCTGTCGTAGTTTTTTATTTAAGATTGTTACCAGCACTCTGAGCAGGGTAATGGGTGAATTGGGACAAGATCCCAATCAATCTGCTCCTCGGTGAACAGGCTCCTTGACCCGATCTCGATTCTCCATTTTCCTCGTTGCAACGTTATCTTCTAGCATTCTTGACCCCGGCTTCATATTTTCATAAATCTTCTATCCACGCTTGATCTCATTCTCAAGCTCCTCCGTCGATTCTGATAGTCTCGAAAGAAAAAACGTCCCGACCCTTGCTTCCACGATGAAGTAGCCTTGATTGCATCGGGATACAATTTTCTAGTGGATCTTGACCTCGCGCGTTCTCGTGAAAGTCTAATGGTGATCTCGTTTTGAAAGTGATCCTCGTATCGTCTTGACACGGACTTCGAATAATTGAAAAACGGTCTTCGAATAATTAAAACATGATTTTCGTCGCTGTTGCTATTTATATACGACGTAAACGAAATAAAACAGAGATTTCTATCTTGGATACGTACAGGAAGGAATATCGACGGAAGCAACGGTATTATTTCACCGACGTTGTTACGGAGACAGATGGGACCGATATTGCGGAGTACTCGGAGAACTAAACGACGTCGTCGGAAACAAAGAAACTTTTTAACAAGAACCGATCAAACTTCTCCATCTGAGAGCTGCCTCCGCTTCCCGGCTACGAGCATTGTTTCCACGGAGCGGTTGAATCTTTCGTTTATCTACCAATGCATCTGGCACACGACGAACAATCGAGAGGAGCTCCGTGCATGGTCTTATCTAATGCGAGGATAATGGCCGGTCGAGGGTACTGTTCCCAGATGGAAAATCGTGTCAATGTCTGCTGACATGCCCCTAATCGTCATTGGGAATCTACAGTCGTCCCAGAAGCGCTGCTTTTCGATGTTCCATCGGCGAAGATTCGGAAAAACAAAGTGAATGCAACATACAGTATTGTTCTTATTCCTTTGTGTTAGAAATTTTTGAAATTTCAGTTCCTTGTACAATTTTTGCAGTGTAAATTCAACTTTCAATACATTTACATTTGATTTTATTTTCATACAGAAGCTTAAGAAAACAATTTTGTAGAATACCTTGATTTGAAAAAGGTTGACTTTGATTTGTAAAAGGGTAAATGTCTCTGCAAAAGGTTGAATTTGATTTGCAACGGGGTGAATTTCACCTGCAAATTTTCATTTGCAAGCAAGGTGACTTCGAAGTGCAAAATCTGTATTGAAATAGCACAATTCAAAACCTATTTAACAAAGCAATTTTATATCACAAGATTCACATAAGTGGAGTCTACAAGTTCCACCATTTCAATCATCCTACAATTTTCAACAACTCGGATAAAATAAAAGAAAGTGATATAATACGTCTCTGTCGGAAGTCATTCCACGCTCTTTTGTCTCCCCGAGTATGAATAAATTCCCGAACGACTACTTTCTCCCGGCGTTTTCGCGTTCAGAGACTAATACATAGTTACAGCGCTTTTTGCGACCGAACACGATGGGCACCGGGACAATTAGCGTTCTAGTTACGCCATTAGATGGTATCGCACCGACCGGCGGATCAACCGTGGGCCAAGGTATCTCCCGGTGCATCGGCCATTTGGCAACCACCAGCAGCGTGCACTGGCTTAATATGCAGTAAATGCAAACGGCAGACGTTGGCCCTTTCCCCCTGCCACCCCATCCCTCTCCAACGACGAAATGTACGTCGGCTTCGACTTCTGGCGGGGTTCCAGACCGCGACCCCGCTGAAAATACGCATAACAAGTGGCATTGTTAGCATGCTGCCTCGTAAAAGTCCGCCCCCGTGCCGGGCCGGTTGGTTTTTCGCGAGATTTAAACGTTTCTTCGGCGGCGTGCCACTCGTATTTGTCGCCAGACGGGTGACAAAGTGGTTTTGTCGTGTACCCTGACACGACAGACTTGCTGGCCCACATTTCGTTTTTAAGCCTTGTTTGATACCCGAATGATTGACTGATTCGAGAGAATCATAATTGATCGGAATGTTAATTCCTTTAGAGGCTCTTTTCTGAAGGTGAAAACAGGGGAAAAGATTCGTTGATATTTATTACTAGACTGCGGATTTTAGTACAAAATTATATTTTATAAAGTGATTCATAAAAACGAGAGCAAATGCAGGAATTGTGTTCACATATTAAGTATCTTATTTGGTTCAAAATAAAATAGAAAATTCGTTGTATCTGATGAAAGTTTGGCCTTTCACTGTATTCTATAGGGCTCTGTAAAGTTCAATGATTTCATATTTCACTGATAAGCTTTTAAATGGCATATCGAAATCTTCTATTTTGTAATTTATAAGACGTAGTCATCACGAGGCTACAATGCTAACGAAAGGGTTAATTCGATTTTACCTCAGATCAAGTTCAACTCATGGAATTAGTGGTAGAACAATTTCTTGAACAGTGCACGTGGATCAAAGGTTCGATTTTGTATATTCATGTAAATATCTACGTGTCTTTCGATTGCAGATGAATTCTTCCCACAGAAAGCAGAATATTAATGCTTAAAATATGAAATACAGAATGGAAACAGACATGTCTTACCTCGAACCGAGATCACAGAGGTTTTAATATAAAAAGGTCCTGATAAAGCGACAAAACGTTTCCAACGAATCGCCCCTCTCTTCCCTTCCCTCATTTGTCCCCGTGGGGAACAATGTAGATAGAAAATATTCGAGGAATCAGACGCTGATCAAAGGCGTCGGAAAAGCCCCTGCGCACGCCGGGGGTGGTTTTTCCCGGTGAAAACCGCCGGTCGGACAATCCGCTCGCGCAATATTTCATATTCTTTGTCTCCTCGCGGCGGCCGATTCAACGGCGGTGCTGGGCTTTTCCCTTCGCGGGCTCTACTTGAACAGCTTCTTCAGACGGTATTTATTACCTGGATGGCAATTGTTCCCCGTCTTTGCCCCTGCATTGCGAATGCAAAAACACCCCTGCAATAATGGCTCGTCGCCGCTGTAAATTTCGCGCCGTTGGGGAATTTTCGAAGGTGAATTGATCCGGAATATCCTTCAAGAGATTTCCAATGGTGCAATTTAAGGTAGAGGCTATTGACCATCGAACAATAAAAGTAAATGTCCGATCTATGTGGATCCGAATGGATTTTCTGTAATTTGTATCTTTGTAGTAATTTCAATATATCTTTTTAAAAAAAATTTTTAAAGTAAATCGTGTAAACAGAAATGTTTATGACATGCATTTTTAAACGTAAAGATATTTTTTTTACGAGGAAAAGGTTCGTCGACGAGCCTTTTCAAGGAAAATCCACCGAGAAATTTTCCGCAACGATAGCCCCTTTAGCCATCGACCAGGTCTATTTCCGCGGAAAACTTGCCGGTCGACCCGTGGAGAGATTTTCTTACGCCTAATCGATTCGTTTAAAGTGCACCACTCACCCCTTCCTCTTTGCCTTGCAACAAGTGGAAAGCGCCGGCCCTTTGGATGCCAGGAAGGAACCAGATCGGATGCGATCGTATAAGCCTCTCGATCAGAGTGATGTCGCAGGCGACCTCGCTGCCAGAATCTTCCGTGGAGCTCGAAGATCCACCCGAGGTCGCCGAGCCCTCCGAGGAGAGCGACTCCTCGCTCTGAAAAGGAACATTCTGTGGTTAATAAAGGCGAATAAAATAACACTCTATACAGTAATTTACAAAAACAGAATTAAAAATAAAGACTATAAGTTTACTGCGTGTAGAATTAAATGAAAAATGCAGGATGAGTCACTAAGAACTGCTATCTAAAACAACTCGTTATCTATTGGTTGTATAAAACGTTTTTTTGATACAACCAATAGTTATTTTAGATAGTACCCAAATACATTTCAAATACGCCTTTAAGTTACAAATGCATAAACTCCGCAGTCTATTAATGAATAACTACTCCATAATTAAATCAGAAAGAAAAGATCAGTCGTTTCATCACTGTGAACAGAGACAAATCAGCATAATTTCAGATCCTACTGCCTCGTTATTTACTCCTGGTTCAACTCGCTGCTTTCAAAAACCAGCGCACCATTTTTAACCAAGAATACTAAGAACCATTCAACGACTCGAGTGAAAGGAACCGGGGCAAAAAGAGGAGAGGAGGAACGATCGGACGAAGAGGAGGATTAAAAAATACATCTGGACACGGTAGGGAGAGCAGCACGAGCGTGGAGGCAAAAGGAAAGTAAAAAAAGGGAAGGGGGAGAATGGACAGTAAAGTCGAGAGCCCGATTAAACGACGGCTAAATAAACGATGGCCGGGCATTGGCTGCAAATTGAGATAACCGGCGAAAGACCGTTCTCTCGCCACGGCTCCCTGGCACGACGGTATAATGCTGCATTAGAGTGTATTGTATGACGACCGGCTAGAGGATTTACACCCTCAGAATTGCGGCTTAAGGGAGCCAAGAGAAATTTCCATATTCCTGGCGAGGGGCACCTGCCGAGCCCCGCGACTTTTGTCCACTGGTTCCCGATTACACCGACGGAATTGGCCGTCTAAACGTTTTATATCAGAACAGAAGAACACGATTCTGGGATTACTTTAGCTGTATCTGGAAGGTAATTGCTCCTGAACGTCCTTGACAGATGTATCGTTGTACAACTTGCTTGATCAAATCTTTCTAACGAAGACCAGTAACTGTAGGTGTAATTGAGAACCGTGATATTACAAGTATGATTCCTACAATATCCAGGTAGTTCTAGATATTATAGAATTTTGTTAAAAATTCCATAAAAAATGTTCAATTCCATTATGCATTGGGTCACTGTAAAACCTTCTTGATCAATTTATTTTAATAGAACCCAGTAATTATGTAATTGAAGAAGTGATGTTACAGGTAGGTATGTTTCCTACAATAGTTAGTTTGATTTCAATATTATAGAATATTCTTCAAAATTTCTTAATAGAACATTTAACTCGATTATGTATAGGACCACTGTAAAACAATGATTCATTTAAAGCACCGAATCCCCTGTCAATCACGAGTGTGTTTAAAAAAAAAATCCTTCATCAGAGCCACCCCTGGCTTCTTTTCACCGATTCAGCCCTTCGACGAACATCAACGACGATTTCGTCAGGGATAATCAAGCCCGATTAGTCCAAGAGCAAAAGCGTTTCGCATGCATTTCCACTCGTATAGGTCATTCTGATCGATGCTGACCGATCGTCGAGCCATGCTTTTTTCTCCCCCTCGGTAGTCAGTCCTTCTTTTCAATTTTTTACCGCGATTCGTCAACGTCCGTTTCCTGTCGGTGAAAACCTGGACCCCTCTCGCGCTTTTTCACCCCCCCCCCAGGGTATTTAGAGGGATATATACGGATTATTCGGATCGGAGAGCCTCGATCGACGCACCCGTTTGATTTACTGCCGCTCATCGACTGGCGCGAGTTCAACGGTTCTCGGATCCGTTTATCGATTATTTTGCGTAGATTACTGGGGCAGTTTCAGAGATTTAACGAGGGTTGTAGTGATTTTCTTAGGGGAACAGGTCGAGTTATTCGGTTTCTGGTATCGCGCTTTTCGTGAATAAAGGTACTGATCCCGGAAATAATTGCGAGGCTGAAGTTGAAATTGACTTTCGAGGGGTGAAAACACTTCGAACGAGTGTTTCGCGCTCGTGATTTTCCGGCAAGTGGCTTTTCTCGGGACTCTGTGCTTGGCATCGTTTGTGGAACTCGATTGCTAACGGAATTGGCTTCGTTTATTCATCAGACTCGAGGACAATGATACAACCTGAGGATCTGAGTTGGCATTTGGTAAAAATCAAATAAAAATTGTCATTTCTCGTGAAGATGTCTACTATCTCACATCGAAGTCGAGGAAAGGTTTCAAAAATAACGAGGACTGCGATTAATCTCTGTAAAATTAAGCAGAACTTACGTATCCATCCTCAATTTATATTTTCTAATTTCCCTTGGGGGTGAATTTCCTCGTCGACCCCCTAAACAATTGGAAGACACCAAAGACAATTTAAACAGTGGGTTGAAATCAAAGTGTCGCAGAGTATCGTCACGATCGGGTGACGTTTTCAATTTTTACTTCCCCATTTCTCCGCGGGGGTGAAAGAGGACGGTTGGCCCGGATGGCGAGGGGGTTGAAGAGAGTCCGCGAAAAGGGGTTTGCCGCGTGCTGGCGTTTCGAGTGTAATTTAATTTGAAATGCAGACTGACACACAACGGCGTTTCGGGTTAAACGGATTAAACGAGGACGTGCGACGCGTGCTGAACACCCTTGCAGCTAATTGCGAATCCCTTAATTGCTCGTCGCGAAAAGTATTCCCCGTGGCGGTCACGATTTTTGGACGATTCGACCGTTCGTCGGCAGTTTTCGAATCATTCATTACGGAAGAAGTGACACGAATCGATAATAGAAACCAGCGTGTAAAGAATTAATTTGGCAATGGAAAAGGGTGTAACTGAACCTCTACTTGGAAAGTTTCAATGTAGTACAGACTGTAATTTAACTTTTAGAGAATCCTTTGATACAGAAGGATAAAGTATAATAAACATTCATTGAATTTGATTCAGCTCCTTATTATGTTAAATTAGAAACATCTGAGCATACTATAAAAGTATAAATACATAAAAGCTGTAGTATAATAATGAACATTTTGCTTCTGTGATAATTAAACCGAACAGTTTCTGATTATATCACCGACAGAAATATCACACGTATTGTGTAATAATTCGTGAAACCCAGACCTAACACTCTAATAAAAACTTCAAAGTCGATTTTCTCGAAATAGCGTTTTGGCGTATGTGCGATATCTCAATTCTTTAACCATGTTCAGGCTAAATTGACAATTGTCCAACGGTCGAGAAAATAACTGAAAGTTTATCGATTTACGTGTTACGGAAATAAAATGTTAATAATATCCGTACCTTGTACGGCAAGCCACAAGCAGTCACCCGTACCTTTTTCATGGCTGACACTTACTAAAAAAATAAAATAAAACGTTCGAAAGTAATCTTGTCTGACTCACCTGTACATGATGTAGCTGCGTAAGCTGATGATGCTGCAGCGGATTTGGCGGAGGCGTGCTCGGTGAGCTGACAACCTGAACGGTTCCGTGCTGTTGCAGGTACGGTTCCAGGAAGACATCGCTCCTGCAACAGTGAAATCGGACATTTTGATTAGCGAAACGTCCACCGCCCCCTGTTCGAATCAACTTGGTGAATTGTTCGGCGTTTCACAATAACCGTGCCACGTGACGAATCCCTGTTTTTCAGGCACAATAATGTGCAGCGTAAAAAAATCATATTTCGTGACGTGATTAGATAACGAGACAGTCGGACAACCAGGTTATAGGATCCGTGACGGAAAAGAATAACGCGACAGTCAACGGTACAGGAAATTGCGTGCTTCCCATCGTTATTCTCCCAGTTGGATTAGTGCTTTCACTGGAGCAAATAATATTCATAGTCTCCTGCAAACTTCATAAATTTCGTACTTGGAATTAGAGATTCCTCAAACGGAAAATTCCTTCATTAAAAAAAAACTGATTGTATGTGTAAACCCCTAAATATAATAAATCTGACCAAGGTGCATAAAAGACAGTAAACCTAATTGTATTAAAGTCCCCATTCTGCTCAAGCCTCAATTTCATTAACCCTCAAACACCACACTAGTGCGAAATTGCACCAGCGAAACATCGTTTCGTTTGTCCATATTGAGATTTACCATTTCTTTATAACAAATGTTCATAGTTAAAAAAAATTATTTCTCACTTTTACAATTATTAGCATTAAATTTCTAAGAAAATTTTACCCTAAAAAATATATTATGAATTCAATTCGCGTTTATTCTCTTTAATCATAAAAAATTCAAAATTAGTAGATATTTGTACTAACTTTATTTTCCTAATCCAACTCAGGAAATACCATCCCCTATCTACTGGTCAGAATAAATACGATTAAGGATCTATGCACAGCTATTTACGTGTTTTGGACTCTGCAAACGTGTCTTTCTATCGGCTATTCTTCCCCACTTCAGTTTCTTCCGTGTAATTTCCCACGAATACAGGTGAGCCGAGGGAACTGATTCAGAGGGCGAGGGAAGAAGGAAAGGCTCGCGAAAAAACATCCCACACCATCATCGGTTCGGCGTTACGGACGAAAGCCGCAGACTCTCGTTACCTACGCTCGGCTGCAGGACCGCTCTTATACAGGTAATCGCTTAGAAACTCGCAGATAAATCCTCTGCGGCGTTGCCTGGACCAGCTCCATCTTCGAGGGGACAACGTACGCTTTTGTAAACGGACCACCCCCGGTGTAATTTCCGTCAAGTTCTCTCGGTGAAACTCCCTTATTGTGAGAGCAACTTTCGTAATTGATTCCATGGATCCTTAGGGAAGATGATGGTTGGAGTGCAATTTCGGAAGACTGGGCAAAAGGTTCCTTTTCGTGACTGTTAACGATCTCGGATTTTCAACCCCCAGGGTCTTCCTCTTGGATCACTTGGACTTTGAAAAGAAGAAACTTTGAACATGGACATTCCGAATATGAACTTTTGAACACTGTCATTTTAGTTTTTATATCAATTATTGATATTCTGGATAAGAATACTCACTCCTAGAATTCTCAAGAATCAAACGAGACGTTAGTGAATTTTCATCTAAGTACGCTGGGTTTCGAGGACTTCCACTACCAAAAAATCTCCTAATTCTCTTTCTGTAGATTCTGACTGATTAGTTTTCGTTGAAAATTGGTCAACGCTGGTCCTCGAATGTCTCCAAAACCTCGAACGAGAGAGCTCCGAATATTTCCGTTCCCAACTCTCTTCCAGCCGCTTAATTAAATCGATAGTGGCCGCGGAACGGAAACAGAGCGCCGCTTGCCACCGAGAACTTCGAGCAGTCAATTAACTCGCGGCGGAAAATTAGTCAGTGACGGTCCCCGGCTACTGGGCGGGATATCGCGACCGGGGAAAATCGATACGTCGCGACGTAACAAATCGTCCCTTGATGCGCGACGTGGCGCACACTCGGGAAGGAAGAAGGACGTGAAACATCGGCCGTGGACACGTCAACACCGTTTGCCCCGTGGATGATTTATGCCGCGCTTTCGTCCAAGTCGAGAGCTTTTTAATTGCGACCGAGCGGAGACACGATCGCCGGCTGAACAGCTCGAGGCGTTTGGGGGGTGAGTTTGGGGACAGAGTTGACTAGACTGCGATATACTTCGTCAGACTTCGCCCTTTTACCTCGAGAAGTTGATTGAGAGTGTAATTAATGAATGCAGAACACTTCTGCATTCACTTAGCTGAATTTTAATTTGATTAAAAGTTTAAATACACGTCCCTAGCACTGTAATCCGTAAACACACGTTTTTTGCAAATATAGTATGAAAATTGGTGAGTTAAGACTGGTATTACCAGCTTTAAATGTATACTAAATTAAATTGAATAATATATCAATATGTACAACATATAACTAGACTGCGAATGTTTATGCGAATTCGCAATTTCGCAATTTCTTCTGTACAAGATGTCCTGTTATCTTGTTATTAGTTCTTATGATCTCGTTAACATAAATCCCGATGAAAGCATCTTTACGATTTTAGTAAATTGTAAAACAGGAAATTTGATATCTGTCATTTTGCTGTGTTCGGTGGTTTCTAGTGTAAAGTGCTTAAATAACTTGAACTGACTTCATCAAATCAGTCTCTCGAAATTAATCAAAAGCTCATTAACCATTCCCGTCAACCCTTCCGGCAAACGTTGCACACAACACCGTCGAAGAAATTTCAATCATAAAAGAGCTACACCGTACCGAAATTCAAACTTCCTCGAATCTCCAAAGCGACCAGAAACTCCACGGAAACCTCATCAACCCCTGAAACGACCCCCGTGTATACTGGAGGGGGATGGCGGACACAAACGCAGCTTCCGACGTGCGGATCAGGTCCGAGACAGGCCGTCCAACTGTCAAACGCAGGGGACAATAGTGTGTGCAGGACGTGTACGGGATGGTGGTGGCCACCGACTTTGCATACGTCAACATCCCTTTTCCCCATGCAACCCCCGTATACGATATACTCAAGCGGCCACGATCGCGACAAAGTTTCCTCGAAATAATAGTGGCCCGTTGCGCTCGCTGCTATTAGCTTCATAAATTAATTGCCTTCTATTCATAGATTTGTTGTTTATGTACAAAAAAAATGAAACAACAAAATACAGTCTAGTTTTGAAAATATTTCCTCTCGAAAAAATCATAGCCGGTTTGAGTCGATAATTAATTGTGTTTAATTATTGATGGTTTTTGGATACAATGTTTAAAAAAGCAATTTAAACATTGTAAAATGGTTTTTAATTATTGATAATGGTTGTGCCACGAATTACTTTGTACACCTTAATAAATGGAATACGTACAACCACGACAATTATTCCGCCGTTGTCCACGCAATTACAGTTGCGAACGCACCAGAAACCTGGCCCCGTTCTGAATCGACGAATATTTGACGGTGACTTGTGGAAACGAAAGGGGAGAATTTGTTTAATAATAAGAGAGGAAAGAGAAATCTGGAACGCAGGCCTTCACGAGTAGTCTTCGTCGCGAAAGAGGTCATTAGGGAACTTTTCGGCAACGGGGGTACCTCTAATGAGATCGTTAATTAAGTCTACCCCGTAGCTCTGGATAGACCTCGAATCGTTTTACACGAGCATGGATTATCGGTATAATTAGCGGATACCCACGGAGTCGTTAATTTCGTGATGCAACAACACCTCCGTCGCGGGTTGTTAAGTAATGTTTTCTCAGTGCAGTTGGAGGGAGTATCGACCTGGTCTGCGTTGGCACCGATCGGGTCCCCGTATCGCGAAATTATCTTACAAATTGTTATGTAAAGTAATTGCTGAGAACCAGACACATTCCTGTTGACTTGAATATCAATTCAAACTGTCGCGAATTTAGTATAATACACTTTCTGTCATCCTCCTTTTTGCAGGTTCTTGGAAGTACACATGAAATACACCATCCGTTGGTACCGTCAGTGCCAGACTCTTTTTCATTTTATTTTCTTTTTATATTCTTCTTCTATTACCTTGAAATATATATATTTAGCACAGTTCCCCTTCAACACGGTCTATAGAAATCGATAACTCAGTATCACTGCGATCACGTACGTGAAAAGAATTTTATTCCCTGCAGAAGAAGAGACGCGACAATAGAGGCATTGAAATATAGAGGAACCTCAGCCGCCCTCTTTATCGGGTTTCAGACTACAATCTTCCCAGAACAATACATCAAATAGAAACAATACCTTCATTCTGAAACTTTCGAAATAAAACACCATCGAGACAGGGGAATATAGAGGGTGCGTCACGCATCGATTAAACAGTGATCCAAATAAGCGGAATCCACTGCATATGCATGAAGTGGAGTCATAGAAAAAACAGACATTACCATACCATTCAATTATTCCGTCTATATTTTTACTCTACCTGTTAACAAATAGCTCATTACCTATTACTTGTATCAAAAAATTTCAACTGTAATGAATTATATAACATTTTTAACGTAACGAGTTCTTTTAGACAGTAGTTCATATTGACTCACTCCATAGAACCCATCTCAACTGCATAACGCATCCTGTTATCACTAGCTACTAACAAACTATTCGATGCAGTCAATTTTCTGCACGCCAAAGACGGTTCTGCATCACGATTATGATCGGAAAAGAGACACATAAAATGGGAGGGAGATCGGGATCCACGGCGTCAAATTGCCACCGTGTCCAGCCGAAAATAACAAAGGGCCAGCCAGCCGGAAGTTACGTTCCTGATTCGCGAACGACGAGAACGGGTCGTCGTCTGCAAGGATCGGACCACCGGGGGTTGCCATGACGACTGGGGAGGTTCTCAACACGTGGTCCGGCGGGTGGCTTGCAAGGGGTAAAAGAGATTTTTACGTATTAACGAGGCAGCCTTGCATCAGGAGGGATGCGTTCCTCCTACTCGAGGAACGCATTCTCAAAGGATCGCCCCGTGTGTCTGAAGCCTCAAAGGAGCACACGACGAAGACTCCTACCTCCCCCCACGTCTTCCATTCATTCTGCTCGCTTTCTTCACGAGTCTCACCGTCTGAAGATGATAATTCGCTGCAGTCTCT